ACGCACCAGCGCATGAAAGCTGAATTCGAAACCTTGAAGGGTGAATATCTTTCTGTGATTCCCGAGGTAGCAGTTTACCCGCCAAAAATTTCACAAGGCCTTAGATGGCACCCGAGAGCGCGAGAACGCTGAATGTGAATGGGCAAGGTTGAGCGTGGGCAGGGGTCATTGCCCTAAAATTTCAGCCTCCTAGACTCCGTAGTTCTCGAGATATTAGTTTACCCGAAAAAACTTTCACGGGGCCGTTCGCGTTACCGGCGGGTACGGAGGAGCTGAATTTAAATTTGCGGGGTCACATGTGGGTGGGGAACGTTTCTCTAAATTTTCATCTTCCTAGCTTTTGTGGTTCCCAAGTTGAAAGTTGCGGGCAAGTTGCTGCGGACACGCACACACACACGCACACACACACACAAACGCACACAGACAACCCGTGACAATATGCGTTTTGTACTGCTGTTGCACAGCACAAAACGCATAAAAATCAACAGGCACACTCTCAGCGAAAATAAGATCGTAAAAATTGGAAAATGAAGCGCAATGGGAAAAACTTCCAATACAGGAGGTTGTAATCACGGTACAGGCCAGTTCATTAACTGTCCTCTCTCCAGTTCATACCCAACTTTGAAGCCCAGCTAAACACATGGCTCCTAACTACAGATTTTTAAAATAACCAGCTGTAGCTTAATTTCAGATATACGTTTGGTTTGATGCACTAATGAATTACCTAACTTTAAGTGGCATCTTCGATGACAAGCGAAATGTGTTATGGCCTCCAACATGTCAGATTATTGGAAAAGATATTTTGAAGTATCACTTTTATTGACTGCCTAAATGTTTTCTTTTATTCTGTTGTTTTCTTTCTTTTAAATTAAAAGAAAAGCCAAATTTAAAGTTTTTTTTAGTTGTTCAGTGAGCCGTTTGCCATAGCTAACCTGGTGATCTTCTGGACTTTTTTGAAATTCTGCAGACATTTTTTGCCGAGAACCAATTCCCCGTCTTAAACTCAGAGTTAAGATCTTTCCGTAATTCACTTTGCGTGTAACTGGAGCATTTGAAAGTACACCGTTTGGTAGCATGTGCCATTAGCAACAGCGAGCTATCAAAGCGATCAGTGATTTTTTCCTCTGAGGGCTTCTGAGAAATAAAAAAAACTATGGCAATTCTGCCTCTCTGACATGTGCCATTGTAATTGCACTGCCGAAACGATTGGACAAATCATTCAGTTGATAAAGTCCCTTTTCCTGAACTATATTATCAAAAATCAGTTATGTGGCCAGATAGCTGATTTTTTTTAGTTTTCAAAAATATTTGTTCTTATTCCTAGAAAGATTTCATGCTGTGATATGGCCAGCGCTTTTGCTTGCATTGGATTTGCCGCTTCCGAAACGAATATTTGTTCATAGCCATTGGCTTGTTGATGGAAGCAAGGTATTATTGTTATTCGATTCAGTAATCGGAATTCGTTCCTTTTTCTCAAATTCATAAGCCTTCCTTTATTCCCCGATTTGCTTGTTTCAGATGTCAAAAAGTATTGGAAATGTGGTTGATCCCTTTGCTGCTGCGGAATTACTGACGGGCGAAGGACTGAGGTATTTTTTGTTGCGGCAAGGAACTCCATACAATGATGCCAGTTAGTACTCCATTTCTGTCTTTTCTTTTATTTCACAAGCAGATCCTTGAAAAAGCCACATTTACGGAAGGCGAAATGTATCTCTGTGCATTTGTGCATACATGATTTCTGCTTGTTGCAAAAAATTTTTCCTGTAGAAACCCTAAAGGCATTTTTATCAAACCCTGGAATTGTTGCAAAGAACCCCCGAAGGCGGAAAGCTTTCAGGTGGTGCTCGTAAGGAAAAAAGAATCAAAGTTCCTTAATTTTATTGTGTAACCAAGTCCTCTTGGTCAAATGCTATCGGGTGCTGTCACAAATAATGGCACTGGGGGGCGCACCGAACGCATCTGTATCACAATGCATGCCTTCAGGCTTTAGAAGTAAAATCAGTTTTGTGAGCGGGCTAATATGTGCCAGAATGCTGAGTTTTTTAAAGAACACTATGAAGTTAGTTCCCTGGGATGGGATTGCTGGAAGATAAGCGCAAGGCGGGGTTCAATTTTTGCATGAACGAGCTTCAACGACCTAAGGAAGCATGAGGAGAAATTTCCGTGGACCGGAAAAATTTTCCGGGGAAAATTTTTCGGGGAAATTTTTTTGATCTGGAAAAATTTTCTGTTTCAAATGTCTTCGATAACAGCTGTGTTGATAACAACCTTGAGTAAATTTACTTAAGTTTACGGCAGGTGTTTTTGCCCGCTTTTACCCAAACCTGAGAAGTGGGGGTTTTTTTGTTTGTTCTTTGTGATTTTGTGGTCCTTTGCAATTTGAATTCGTAAAAATGTTGACTTTAACGTTCCGTCTTTGAATGGAAACGATCCTGTTACTTTTTGCTGTTGTCTTCTTGTTATTCAATTCTGGCTTTTATTGTTCAGAAGCCTTGATCGCTTTAAAGTTTTCGCATTTAATTACGCGTTATAAGCTACTTTTTTTCTTTTTTTTGCCCAAATCTTGACGCCTACTTTTTTTCGCATTTCTTAACATTGAAATTGTTGGCTGCCTTGTGGTCCATTTAAATATTCCCGCTTTTCGACTTTTTTATTTCACATTCCTTATGAATCATTTTTCCAGTAGTTTATTTTTGCAGATTTCATGATCCCCAAAGCTGTAAGTGTCATCAATACCGATCTGGTGAATAACATTGGCAACTTGCTTCAGCGTTCGTTGATTGAGAAACTCAATCCAAGCAAAATCTACCCGATCTTTTATCCCGATTCATTCCAAAGTGACTTACGTGAACTTGGCGAGCCGCTGGTCCACTCACTCAACTGCTTGCCAGGTCTTCTTCGATCTTTCGTTTATCCACTTCAAATACTCCATTTGTTCGCTTGCTTTCAAAAGCGGGATTTGCTTGACTAATATTTTGCAGTGCACGAGCAAAAGTATACTGGATCTTTTAAAACTGAATCATTTTTTTTTTTTTATTTTGCACTACCTAGATCTTTTAAAGTTTTATCTGATCAACTATTTAAACATCTCTGCAACTGACAACTTTTCCATCGACTATGCTCTTGTGTTTTCCACATTCACACCACTTCCTACGGCGAGATTATGGGCACTTATGCATATAAGTGTTGCGACAGGAAAATCACACATTTTTAGACTCTGTATTCTGTCGAATTCACGGA